GGCTATAAATTGGCACAGCAGGAAATTGCCCATCTTTCTCCTGAGGTGCCCCTAGTGGATTTGAACCACCAGAGTCACCACCTTTAGTATAGCAGCACAGCTACCTATGGGAGGTGCCACCAAAGCTCTCAAAGACAACTAAAGATCAGACTTACAAAGACAGTGCTGTCCATTCGACTTTGAACTGACTTATGATGGTGTCATTGCCATGGAGGCCCGTTGTAAACTGAAGACTCCTTGAAGGTGTATTCAGTAAATAAAGTGGCAATAATTTGAGACTGCCTCCTTTCTGTTTCATATTTGGAGCTGTTTTTCCCATGTGTAAATGCACAAGAGACTTGAGAACAAGGATTCCTACAGAGACTTGTAAACCCCTGTGCCCTTCAGCACAATTCACAGCAGCCGAAGAGTGTCTCAGCGACCCAAGTGGCCAGCAACAGATGGGCGGGTTTGGAGCCATGCAGTGGAATGCTACTCAGTCATGAAGAGTACTGAAATTCAGATACATGGATCTTGAAATTATTATGCAACTTAAAAAAAGATGCAAGAGGAAAAACACTGTGCAGGTCTACGTCTATGAAATGTGCAGGGTTGGCAAATGCAGAGAGACATGTGGGTTAGTGGTTCCTGCTTAAGGGATCCTTAGCGTCCGTCTGTTGTTAGGGGCCACGGTGTTTGCTGCAGTACAGTCGAACACAGCGCCGCCTGGTCCTGCACCACCGTCCTCGCTTCTACAGGCGCTGGTCCCTCCTGGTCACTTGCCTCTCCTCAGAAACAAATGAGATGAAGAGGCCTTCCCATCTTTGCTTCTCACAAGCCTCTGGACTCTGCTTGTGTTTAGAGTGATGGAAAACCCCCGTGAAACAGATACCTCATGGTGATGCTGATTGTACAACATGATGAATATAATTATGTGACTATTTAATTGTATATTTCTTTTAAACGCACACTTAAAATAGCCACTATTGATTTTACTGTAATAAATTTTTTAAAACAAATGTCAGTGTGAATGAAAGGAATTTTTTTTTTAATCAAGTAATTCATGCTCAAGATAGTATTGTTTTGATTTTGGAAGACTAGCTTTGCCCAGAATCTCCTCTGTGTTTCTTTTTGGGTACTTTATTAGGATGTAGAGATTCTGCTCATGGATATATTGGCATCATTTAGAACATTTTTCACCCCTTCTTGTGCCCTTTTAAGGTCGCTACAGTACTTTAAGAGGCTAACACAGAAGGGTAAAGTCAGTCTCCATAAAACCCAGACAGGACATGGAAAGACTTCTCTTTGGATCCTGTCTGGAGTCACATTTGAGAAAAAAGAAAATCTTAAAAATGTATTTTACTTCAGTTAATTAAAAAAATCTACCTGGAGTAAAGTACAAGGGCCTTGTTTGTTTAGCAGAAAGTTTGCATCGACTTTGGGTGGATTCATGATTTTGGATCAACATCTTGAAGGAGAAACGAGGCAGGCAGATTCCTTCAATATTCCATTCTTGGAATTGCAGTAATATTCATCTCTTTTTTTTTTTAGTTTCAGCTCCAGAATTTGTGTTTGAACATGGGTATCAAACGTATCTGCCCACGGAAAGCAGTGAAAACCAGCCTGCCACTGTCATCTCCCTCCCTGCCAAGTCGCGCACCAAAAAGCCCGCAGCCCCGCCGGCTCAGAAGAGGCTCAACTGCTGCTATCCAGGTAGGGGCAGCACAGGGCACTTCGGATGCAGAGGACAGGCGTCTAACCAGGCTGAGGCTCTGCCTCTCGGCTTCCCACAGCGGCTCCCCAGTGAGCTCCAAGCTCCCACCCCTCACTTCAAAATCCTGTATTGACATCACTTTCCTCAGTGTCCCTTCTCATCGGACTTGTGAGCACCAGTGAGGCCGTGAGCGGGCAGGGCATGGGTCTTCCGGGCTACTGCTTAGGAAGGAGCCCTTGTGGTGCTGTAGATAAACATACTTAGCTTCTAACCAAAAGGTCGGTGGTTCAAACCTGCAAACCACTCTCAGGGGAAAGACGTGGCAGTTCTGCTTCCGTGAAGCTGTACAAGCTCAGAACTCCTTTGGGGCCGTTCTGCTGGGTCCTCGCCTGCCCCTGAGCTGGGATTAAGTCACTAGCTTTGAGTATAACCTAGGAAGACACCCAGGAAGGTATCTTTCTTTCTTTACCTTTTATTTTTTTTTAAAGAAAATTTTTTATTTTGAAATCATTTCAGACTTACATAAAAGTTGCAAAAATAGTACAAAAATTTTTTTTTATGACCCTCAGAGAGATTCCCAAAGGAAATAATTTCACCGTATATTCTTGGCCATTCTCGCTACTCAGAGGAGATGTGGCAGCTAAGATGATGGCCTCCGACCAGCATATATTTCTTAAAAACAAGTCAGTTTCCTGTAACCATCATGTAGTCATCAGATCTGGAACTTAACACGGACACATGGTTTTACTAAAGTCTGGAGACCCAAAGGGGAGGAAAGGGTTAAGAGATGG